CAAAGAAGCTTTTTTGTGAGAAGAGGTATGATATTGTATTGGAAATATTAGATGATTATTTTCATAACATTAATTATAATTTTGATTACTGAATAGTTAGAATAATCAAAAACAGTAATGATCTGAAATCCTTAATGTGATTATTTGATATTTTTTTGAGTTGTGACACTGATTGATTAAGCTGAACACACTTGAATTAATTTAAAATAATAGTGAAAAATCATAATGGCAATATTTTGAATATTGGATAGTTGGAGTAATCAGAAACATTTAATCAAAAACTGTAATAACTGGAAACATTCATTTTGATTAATTGATAATTTTCTTGACATTAATAAATTTAATTGTGATTTTGCTTACTGTATACTTGAAATAATCTAAAACAATATGAAATGAAAACAATAGATGAGTATTTTCATGACATTAATAGATTTAACTGTAATTTAATCTATAAACTAATCAAGTTAACCACCAAGCTTTATATTTTATTTATGTAAGAGTTCTGGTATGTTTCAGAAAATTTTGATTAAAGAAATTTCATACAAAATCCACTAGCTTGATTTTTCTACATTAAATACTGAAACATAAATCCTTCAAGTTTATCACACTATTATATAACAAGTTACAACACTGATTCTAATAACATTTTTTCAACAATTGATCACTTAAGAATGAATGTATTAACTAAAATTTCAAGCTAGTTATTAAATATGAGAGTTGGATTTTTCAGAAAACATAAAACAATGATATGAAAATGATCTTTTAAAGTAAAAGAAAACTAATACAAGTAAAAAAAAATCCAAAACGACTCCCTCTCCACTAAGATTACACAATTTCCATTTCAAGTACTACCTGTTGGGATATTCAGGCATTAATTAACCTTGTGCATATGGATTTGGTCAATTTAACCGATCTTGTAACCACCATGTAATCATGAATGTATATGTAACTCTAACTATATGAAATGTATCTTCAAAAACCTTAGCAAACTATCAGCAAACATTAAAAGTCTGATGTACAGAAAAAAAATAGATTTTTTGATGAAGTACTTTTACTAAAGATTCGTCTGTAAACTTATGAAGCTTTCATGGAGTCAGTCTGAGTGCAAGGTGATTTTCATGTTAAGAATTAAAATACTTTTTTCATCTTACAATTTTAAAAGTTCATTTGTATAACTTCTACAAAACTCTATAGTTTATCTGTTTCTTTACCCTAACTGTAGCAAAGCCATCAATGTACAGTGAGATGAAAAGTTGAAAGTTAACATTTTCTAACACTGAAAATGTATTTGCAATTGGTATTTACCTCTTGTTACCCATAGATATTTCAACCCTCATTTGCCCTCAAGGCATTGGTAAATGTGTTGGACAGCACACCAGTCTTTTATACCCCTATATTTTTGCATTATTGCAGCAACGTGTGACCAGCCTCCACCAATCCCATTGTGCACCCTATACTAGTGAAGGTAGCACCCTCTACCATTACAGTACAATTATAACTTTCAATAATTGGCATATACAAACCCGAAAACACTGGCAAGTCAGCGGGGAGGAAGGGTGGGAAGTGGATGAGAAGAGGTAAGTACCTATTGAAAATACATTTTCAGTAATAGAAAATGTTAGCTTCCAAAACAGTACAACCCCTCTCTTCCATAGCTAGAATCCCACATTGGAAAGGTGGATGGGCCAGTGAAGGTGCAAAAACAAATAATCAAGTGGACAGTGATCACTATGAAAAAAAGCAGGTGTGCCACAATTATAATACGAGGCACACCTGTGGGGTATAGCACTACTTCTGGATCTGGAACAGGTATGCTCTTCACCCAATAAAGAAGATAAAACAAATGGGGCAGAAATGAAGAGAATATGTGGATAGGGCTAGAGGACCGTGTATGAATAGGCCAAGTGCTGTCTGTCTGGGCAGAAAATGTCTAGGGGAAGAGCTTTGGGATACAATGTATTATGCCAAGTGCAGTCCGCTCAGTCAAAAACATCTAGGGGAAGCACCAGGGATTGAGATCAAGTTAGACAAGCCAGGTCCATCCAGGTATAAAAATCTGGAGGAAGCCCCTGGTATACATTGGATTATGACAAGTGTGGTCCATCTGGGCAGAAAACATCAAGTGCATAATAGATATCATGCCATAATGTGTGTATAATAGCCAGCATAACGATGACAGCCCTCTTCTCATCGAATGTGTACTTTTGGTTATGAGATTGTGTTATTGTGCAAAACTCACTCGTGAAGAAACCTTAAAGGTCCACCCTTCCAGCAATTGGGAACCAGAAGTGGCAAGGACCCCTATGCTCCACTAGAAGAAAGAGGGGGGGAGATGCATTGGGGGGGGGGGGCTGGAGGAACAACCCACCAAAGACAGTACAATGGGTGTCTGCATTTCCCTATTTTGAAAAGCAGAAAGACACAGATTGAAAGCATCACCAGTTAATAGGGATGGCAAAAATCTCTATATGCTTTACTTGAGAGACTTTCCTCAGCATATATACATACAGAGAGATAGTTAGATAGATAACAAAAATGTGATATATAGATAAAGATACACTACCGGTAGAGCATCCGGTGGTCTTATATAAACACCCCATCTCCACAGTGAGCATTAGAAAAGAAGCAGAGTAAGTACTAGTATAAAAAGATTCACCATGCCTGACCAGGCAACACCTGCCACCAGGTGGGATCCAGAAATGCAAAGGTAAACAACTGTAAAGAAAAGGAAAAAAAAAAGATGCAAAAGTGAAACAAAATGTCAACTTACCCCAGTGAAAATGGAGTTTGTTGACATCTAGATGAAACATGCCTGATCGAGGTTGCCAGAGTAGAGACCTGGATGGAGGTAAGGGAAGGGGGTTGCTGCTCCAGTAAGGGCCAAAGGAGAGGAAACCACAAATTTGCATTGCAATATAGAGCAACAAGCAACACAGGGCAAGGAATGGTCTGTATGAGAGAAATAACCCTGGAAAGCAGTCTGATCAGAGGGTAAGTAGAGATGAAGAAGGCCCCTCCAATCCTAACTGAATACATCTATCCCCAGAGCTGAGGAGTGTGTGACAGAGACCAAAAGGAAGGAAGTTAGGCAAACATTGAGATATGAGGTGCACACAGGCAAGAATACACCAACTGAAAACCCCAGAATGAAGGGACCATTCTGTAGGAAGAACTTGGTTGGGGTGAGATAGATGGTTTGTAACCAGGTTCATAACACCTGGAACATGACATGCCAAGAGCATGGTGGTGTAGCTGTAGGCCCAGTATAAGAGATCTAGTATAAGAAAACACAGGTTCCTGGAATTGGTACCTCCTTGTTTGGGGATAAAACCAACAAAATGAACCACAACCACCTGTTCTTGTAAGAGTGGGAGGAAATGAGAGAGAGCCTAATGAACTGTCAAAAGCTTCACATGGTTGCTATGGTAAGTAGATTCTTTGATGGACCACCAACCCAAAATGTCCCGAGAGTTGAGGGAAGCCCCCAACCCACCAAAGAAGCATCTTTGAACAGATGCAAGTTGGGACAAGGCAGAGGAACCCCCACCATGGTTAGAGCTCTGTCGAGCCACCAAACAAGGTCAGTCATGATCTCTGAGGGAAGAGTAATAGGATGATCCAAGGGATTGCATGTGTGCTTGACCCAAGGAAATGAGAGCTTCCAGGGAGTCTCATGTCACCAAAAGAGAGAGAACCTCTCGAGCAGGAAGATAAAGTGAAGACAGAGCCTGAGTGACTGCTGGCTGCATATCCCACAGTCAAAGTGGAGAAGGCTGGGCCCAACCAAGATGGGAATTGAAGAGGACCCCCCCAAATGAATAAGGTATTGAGTGGGAGTGAGAAAAGACTTCTCTACCTTGATGAGAAACCCCACCCAAGCAGACTCCCAAAAACGGAAGCGGGTGTGATTGGCAGATTGGGCTTGGGAAGAAGCGAGTAGGATCCAGTTGTCCATGTAATGATGAATCCGAAGAACCAATGAATGAAGATGATGTGCAGAGGAACATACCACACAACAGAACACATAAGGAGCCAAAGCAAGACCAAATGGTAGTGCACAGAACTGGAACACATCCTCCCTATAGACGAAGATTGGGAGTAGGAAAAAGGGTGGGGTGAAGAAGAAGGAGCATGGGGCACTCAAACCGGAAAAGATTGAGAAAAATCAGTAGGGTGAGACAGACGCCAAGCAATGGAGGACAAAGAAGAATGCAATCTTGTCACATTGACCCTGGATTGAAATTGTCCTTCCCCTGATGAAAAACTTCCTGAAAAGCAAGATCCTGGGGTAAGGAAAAACAAGCAGAAGTAGCAGTGAAAGAATCTGACTCGCACCAAATTTATGCCTGAATCCCCTCAGCTGACATCGATAACTCGGAGAGCTGGGACTAGTGACATGAGTTTTGTTCATATTGTCAGGAACTTCTACATCCGCCACATAAGTTCACGTGGACTTTGGAAAAAAAAAAAAGTGCAAGCAGTAGTAAAGGAACTACTAAATGAACAAGTAATCCCAACTAAAAGTGACAACTAGCAAGAAAAAACACAACATAGTAAAATTTGCTTGAAGAACAACTGAAAACACACGTCTAAACACTGTAGTGCCAATCGAGAAAATGGAGATTGTGCTGCAATGGTAGAGGAAGCTACCTGCACTAGTATAGGGGTTACAATGGGATTGGTGGAGGGTGATCACATAATCAGCACATGTTGCTGCAATAATGCAAAAAATATCGGGGTATAAAAGACTGGTGTACTGTTCAAAAGATTTACCAATGCCTAGGGGCTAATGAAGGAAGTACCATTTCAGAAAATATGAAATAAAATCAAAAATACCTTTTTTCAAGAACGATTGCAGATTGTAACAGAAAATTACAATTATTTATTTAACAAGGATGAATAAATAAAATAATAGAGTTCCATAAAATGTCTAGTAATTAAATTTGAGCTATGGGAAGTTAATAGAATTATCATTATTATTAAAAATATTTGACATAAACCTGATTTTCTAATCCAATATTTGCTTGTAATTGTTCAATAACTCCACATTCTCTGTTGGTCAAGTTAGTTGTTGCTGCTGGTGCTGTTGCTTTCATAGGTTGTGTGTTGACTTTCAGTTTCTCTACTTCAGCTTTGAGCTGTTCTAAGCGTTTCAAAATTTCAATTTGTCTATCTTCTAGTTCCTTATAAATGCTACTTTCCTAGAAAAGTTTTGTAAATTTCTTTTAGATAAAATTGAAATAAATGAGTTTATAAATGTCAAGAATAAAACTGTTAACATACAGTGTATAGTTTTCCATATATGAAATTAAATACTAAAAGAGCTTGTAGTACAGAATCAAAATATCTAAAAAAAAAGAGAAAACAAAAATGAATAATATATTTCTAATCATAATATTGCACAAAACTCAAGTACCCTAAAATTGTAAATCTTCTGAATGCCAAGTCAGATTTTCAAATGTGTACAGCAATACAGAAAATATTTTGCATCAGTATTTAAAATGCAGATTTCTTGCATCACTGTGTAAGTACATTTATCATAAAAAAAATAACAATGACTTAATTTCTGGACAAAATACAAGGCTTTTATTTTGTAACACAAATATTTTTTACATATAACATAGCAAAAATATATTTGAATGAATGTCTATTTTTAAAAGTACAAATGGGTTCCATATAATAATCTACTTCTAAACAGCTAATTTCATTTCATTGCCAGGGTAGAACAAAAATGCCATTTGGAACAATCAAGATTTTCTACCATCACCCTATTCAAAACTTCATATAGAAGTTCCTTTTCCTATATCAGAACTAATTTAAAAATTACTCATGAAATATTTTTTACACTCTGTCAGTGTTTCAACTTCTACCCCACTTGAAGGTAAAATTGTTCCATCAGCAAACCACCCTATTAAAAATGTAACACTACCTTAACTGTGTCGGTGCTACTATAGCGTGAGGTCTACTGCCATATGTCGCCTACCCAGGTGCAGCCTGAGGTCTACCGCCAAATGTCGCCTACCCCCTTTAATATAAATTTAATTAGAAACCAATTATCTATTTAAGTCATTCCT